GAGAGAGAGAGAGAGAGAGAGAGAGAGAGAGAGAGAGAGAGAGAGAGAGAGAGAGAGAGAGAGAGAGAGAGGAGCGATCCAAGATTGGCTGTTACGTACCTGTGAAGTTGCTGCGCAGTCCACGAAGGAGAAGACAGCGGCCATAGCCGAGCAGCCTGTGCCACGGAGTGACGAAGTAGGAGGGAGAAGGACAGAGCGGGAGAGACCGAGGAGGAAGGAGCGGCCAGAGCCAGGAGGTGAAGAGGAGGCCGATCAAAAAAAAAAAAAAAAGAGAAAGAGAAGAAGAAACAGCGGGGTGAAAGGAGGCGAGGGAGGTAAAGAAGAAGAAGGGGATTGGCGAGGAAGAAGAGCCGGCAGCCATACCTGACCGGGGAGTTGACCGAGAGGGTTGACCGGGGGTGTTGACCGGCATTACCAGAGTTGACCGGGGGTTGACCGAGGGTTTACCAATTGACCGGCGTTGACCAAGACCGTTGACCAAGACTTTGACCAAGCTGGAGTTGGTAACATCTCGCCAAGCCCTTAGCCTACCCCTTGCCCTATGGATGTGCACATACCCCTTGGTACTTGCTGAGTACAGTCTGTCTGTCTATTCTTTCTGCATTGAGTCTCTTCTGTCCTAGGTGAGAGCACTCTCTGGATGAAGGATAGGGCTTGGATGACGAAACCCTTGTCTGACCTTGTAGGGCTAAGACTGTGGCTGATCCAACTTTCCAGGGGGGCATAACCCTCCCAAGGACCGGTGCTGACAGGCTGGAAACGGTTGGTGGGACTCAGTGGGCCTGAACGGCAATTAGGGCTGACACACCAGGCAGTCTTTAAGTGTTGAGGGCCTGTTTGAACCACTCACCTACCGGACCAAGTAAGGCTGAGGATCTGTGTCTGACGACTCGACTGTCCTGGGGGATACGAACCCTCCCAAGGACCGGTACAGACCGGCAGGCTGCTCGGTGTGGCACAGTAGGCCGGAAAGGCTGAGTTGTGGGCTGAAAGCACAGGCAAAACCAAGCTGATCACGTCGTCCTGTCTGCGACGTTAAAGAATTCTTGCGGAGTTTGGGGGATCTCCTTAAAAGGCCTCCTGATCAGCCACTGGTTCAGTAGTGACATCCATAGCTTAGGTCTAGGTTAGAGATCCTAGTTGGCAGGATCCCTGTTAGGATTCTGTGAGTCTTAGATTGAGTCAGTAGGTCTGTTAGTCAGGGGTTAAAGTCTACGTGGTGAGGAGTGGAATCCTTCTGATTGTGCACCTATCACCATGGTTGAGACCCGTAAAGGAATGATTACTACCCCCTATACTGCTGAGCAGCAAGAGAAAATGGCCGCCTTAGTGAGAGAAAATAAGGAGAGAAAAGAGCGTGAAAAGCAGGCGAAGTTAAAAGCGATTGCAGAGGAACAGGCGGCGAAGATGAAAGAAATAGAGGAGGAGATGGAGAGAAAGAAGAAGGCTGCTGAAGAAGAAGCGGCACCAGAGGAAGAGAAGGAAAGAATGAGGATTGAAAGCGGAGAAGGGACTAGTGGCACGAACAAAGATACAGACGCTGAGCTTGAGAAGAAGATCAGCGAGTGGTTTGCCAACTTATCGTTGGGTGAAGACGAAGAGGCGCAAATGAATGTGCCACAAGAAGAGAAGGAGGCGTTTGCTAGGGCCCTCGAAGTAATTAAGGACCCCCTTGAGCGTCAAGAGGCTGAGGAGGAGAAGAGATTGGAGTGGAAGTTGAGGATGAAGAGGGAGCAGAAGAGGAGAAGGGAGGAAGCTAACCGGTTGACCGTAGAGGTAGAAAAGGTGCAGACGTGTAGACAGGAAGTCCAGGCACAGGCAGATGTTTCTGCCAAGATGGATAAGGTGTTGGGGTACTTGGAAGTGTTGAGTGAGGCCTGGTTAGAGGAACGGCACGCCAATCTGGGTCATGACATCACCTTGAAGGCTATGCGGTCAGGTTTCAGAAAGTTCACGCGCGAGATTGTCACCCACATTGGGGGTGAAGTCAGGCAACTAAGAGAGAATGTAGGAAAATACTGCGAAGGCGCCATTGAGGGCGCCAAGGCCATAGCTGTTGTAGAGGGCGAAGGTAGACCCCATAAAGAGCTTGTAAAGCTCAAGTTCCCAGATGCGTACGGGGGTAAGAAGGAGGAGAACTTTGACAACTGGGAGGCCAGTGTCAACAACTATATCTATTTGCAGCACATCCTGACAGAAGAGCAAGTCCTCGTGGCCTTCCAGGCCCTCAAGGACGAAGCAGCTAGCTTTGCTAGATCTCTTGCGCGCGCGGCCGGTTGCGAAAACAACCTGGTCGCATATTCCAAACTCACCCCCCTTTCTCAATTCCTCAAGTTCCTCAATGAGCGATTTGCTGACCCAACGCGAGGCGTTAGAGCCTCAGACATGTTGCAGACAATCCACTCACGGCAGTGGAGGAGTGCCAAGGCACTCAAGGGTACCATGGACGACTTGGTAGCCGTCCCGGACCATGGGGTCATTGAGGCCCAGTTGGTCCAGTTGTTTTATCGTGCCATTCCAGAGGCCCTACGCGGGCATTTCTTTGACAAATCTCAGCAGGCCGGCATCACTTACGATGAATTGAGTAGAGAAGTCGTCCTGTATGAGTCGAAGTCTATGCCACTTACCACTTTCTGGCATAAGGACCTGGAGAAGGGGAAGAAGTGGAAGGATCGTACAATCTCGGGCCAAGTCAAGGCCAAGGATCATTTGATCCTAACATTAGAGGAGGGTGGTACAGAAAAGGTCCCATATGGCCAGATTGAGTGGGGCGTAGGGGAGGAGTACAATAGTGTAGGGCAGGGGAGAGGGAGGCCGCAAGGTAGAGGAGGAGGCCAAGGCCAAAGGGGCGAGGCCATGGGAGGTCGAGGACCGGGCGCACAGAGGGTTGGCGAACAGGGAAACCGCCAAGCGGGAGGTAGGGGTCAAGGTCCCCCGTTAAATCGCCAGGGTAACCGGTCCCCACAGCAAGGAGGTGGAAGGGCACCTCAAGGAGGATGGCACCCAGGCTTGCCACAGGGCAGGCCCTGAGAAGACTTGGGCTTGGACAAGCGATGATGACAGGAACACGTGAACATGGGTCAGTGCGTATTCTGTGGTGACCCGGCGCACGTAATTAAATTTTGTCCAAAGTATAGACAGGCCCGTTGGGCTGCTCAGCAGGCAAAAGGCAGCCGCCTGTAGGGGTTGCAACTGCCCCTACTTCCAGGCCATGTGGAGAAGTGAGCGCGCGCGAACAGGACACTCCCAACCCACATGAGCTATGGCAGAGGTTGCAGGCCCGTGCCTAGATAGTTGTCCAAAGACTGCTTGTGTTAGCGTCTCTTTAGGCACGTCCCTCACAGGTGTGGCAGAAGAATTAAAGGAGAGGATGCCAACCTGGGCCAAAATGAAGAAGGAGAGTAAAGGACAACTGATTTTGGTAGATGTAGAGGTGTTTAGGAGTAGGGTAGGGGCCCTTATAGATTCAGGAGCTACCCGTAGTTACATTAGCCGTAGAGCGCTGAAGAAGTTGAGGCTAGGACTAAAGGTCCAAAAGCTAGTAGACCCCATAGTCAGTGTCCTCGCAGACAACCGCACGATGCACGTTGAGGACTACGTAGCCTAGAGAAGAATGGAAAAGTGGAGAAGGTCCTCCATTCTTTGACTCTCCTCTTGCAGGATGACCTTCCTTTCGATATAGTGTTAGGAATGGATTGGGGAGAGGCAGCAGGGGCCACACTTCATTTGAGAGCGCATGAGTGTAGGCTCCCTAGTCCATCCGGCGAGGTTAAGACTGCCCACTTGTTCCATGTGTCTGGTGTAGATAACACCTTGGCACATTGCTGTCTCAGTGCTCCCGCGTTCGCGCGATTAGTGAGAAAGGAGCAGTTAGAGGAACAGCTCTTTGTAGTGTATGTTAGACCTGTCACCGAGGGCCAAGAAAAGGATAGTTCCACAGATCCAACAATCGCCAAGTTGCTTGAAGAGTTCAAGGATCTGACGGAGTCGCCGACAGGAGTAGTGCCGCGAACCATCCAGCACAGGATAGAGATAGAGCCTGGCAGTCGAACTCCTAAGGGTGCAGTCTACAGGATGTCCCCTAGAGAGTTAGAGGAGCTTCGCAAGCAGTTAGACGAACTCCTTGAGAAGGGTTGGATCAGGCCCAGTTCGTCTCCTTTTGGAGCACCAATTTTGTTCGTCCCCAAGAAGGAAGGAGAACTTCGTATGTGTATAGACTATAGCGGTTTGAATGCGATCACAGTGAAAAATGCCGAGCCGCTGCCCAGGATAGACGATATTTTAAATCGGGTGCGGTGTTGTAAGTATTTCTCTAAGATAGACTTAAAGTCCGGATACCATCAGATAGAAGTCCATCCTGATGATCAGTACAAGACAGCATTCCGGACTAGATATGGGCATTATGAGTTTGTAGTGATGCCCTTTGGACTTACCAACACGCCAGCTATTTTTCAGCGTTGTATGAATGACCTGTTTAGACCATGGTTAGATAAATTTGTAGTAGTCTACTTAGATGATATCCTAGTCTTTAGTAAGACCCTCCAGGAGCACCAAGGTCATCTGAGGCAGGTCTTGGAGAAGCTTAGAGAGGCTAACTTCAAGATCAATGCGAAGAAGTGCCAGTGGGCCAAGACGCAAGTCTTGTACTTGGGCCACGTATTGGACGGAGATGGCGTTAAGCCAGAGGACAGCAAGATCGCGGCGATTAGAGACTGGCCGACGCCCCGCACATTAACTGAGTTGCGGTCGTTTCTAGCCTTAGCTAACTATTATAGGAAGTTCGTGAGGAACTTCTCCACTATCGCCGCCCCCTTGCGCAGACTGCTAAAGAAAGAGGCAATCTGGCAATGGGATAAATATTGTACGTCCGCGCTCAAGAAGTTAAAGCGCGCGTTCTTAGAATACCCTGTCCTCAAAGTAGCAGATCCGTCCTTGCCATTTGTCGTTACCACGGACGCAAGTCGGTATGGGATATGCGCCGTGTTGCAGCAAGACGAGAGCAATGGTTATAGACCCGTAGAGTTCATGTCAGCGAGGATGCCCTCTGAGAAGGTTGCTACCTCCACGTACGAAAGAGAACTCTACGCCCTCAGGCAGGCTTTAGACCATTGGAAGCACTACCTGCTTGGGAGGCACTTCAAAGTCTATTCGGACCATCAAACACTTGGATGGTTGAAGACCCAGGCCAAGATGACACCTAAGTTAACCAGGTGGGCCGCAGAGATAGACCAATTCGACTTTGAGCTCAAGCCAGTGAAGGGCAAGTACAATGTAGTGGCGGATGCTCTAAGTAGGAGATCAGACTACTTTKGAGCCGTAGTACATTATCTGGATATAGGGAAAGACCTGCAAGAGAAAGTGAAAAAAGCGTATACGCAGGACCCTATCTATAGCGACCTCCTAAAGAGAGTTAGAGAGGCCCCAGAGACCGAACCAGATTACCGCACTACAGACGGGTGGCTGTTTGAGAAGACTAATGTGWTTGACCGCCTGTGCGTTCCCAACAACGAAGAGATTCGTAGTCTGATTCCAGGGGAATGTCAGGATATTGAGGGACACTTCGGTTGGCAAAAGACGTTAGCCAATCTAATGCGTGCGTACACATGGCCAGGGATGAAGAACAACTCCATAGAGTATGTCCGCAGTTGTAAAGTATGCCAGAGGAACAAATCTACTACACGCGCGCCCCTAGGTCTTCTCAGACCCTTGCCTATTCCGGATCAGCCGGGAGACTCAGTRTCCATAGACTTCATGGACACGCAAGTCAAGAGCAGACATGGTAAGAGCCAAGTCATGGTCATAGTCGACCGTTTTAGTAAGTATGCAGTTTTTGTTCCTTTGCCTGCAGAGGCACGTACAGATTTAGTAATACAAAAGTTCTTTGACTTTTGGGTTAGTTAGAATGGAATCCCATTATCAATAGTTAGTGATAGAGATAGTCGTTTCACCAGCCAGAACTGGCAAGAACTCATGAGAGTCTACGGATCTAAGTTGTTAATGTCATCTGGCCGTCACCCAGAGACTAACAGTCAGACAAAACAGATGAACAAGATCCTACAGCAAGTTCTGCGCATGTATATTAGACCAGATCAGATCAACTGGGATGAGATGTTGCCCAAGGTCGCTAGTGCATACAACAATAGTAAGCATTTATCCACCTGCCGCACTCCCAATGAGTTGCACAAGTCCTTTAGACCGCGCAGACCTTTCGAAGGACTGAACCGGGATCAGATTCACAGATTACCGCCCGGCACCAGGGAGTTTGCGATACAGCACGAGAGAGAACTAGCAACTGTTGTTGAAAACCTCAGGAAGGCCCAGCATAAGATGATAGAACAAACTAATAAGCACCGCTGCCCATCGCAGTTTCAGGTAGTCGACTTAGTCTGGGTCAAGGGTAAAGAGTTTGCACCTGAGGTAAACATCTCGCAGAAGTTGCTGCCCGCATATAGAGGACCGTGGCCGGTACTAAAAGTCAAGGGCGGAGAGAATGGACCGTCCTAAAGCATTGAGATTCCAGCACACCTCCACACATATCCTGTGTTTCATGCTTCAAAGCTGCTGCCGTGTGTCACAAGTCAACAGTTCCCTTCGAGGAGATCCATGATCCCCCCGGATATGGATGGGAGTTATGACATTGACGGCATTGTAGATGAGGACGTGTTCAGAACAGGAGGTGGAGGTCGTCCCCAGAAACAGTATAAGGTTCGGTTTGCCTACCAGGAGCCGGAAGACGACCGCTGGTTCACGAAAGCAGAACTTCTAGAGACCGCTCCCGACATAGTTAGAGCCTATGAGTGTGACAAGAAAGGTAAAGGTCCTGCCTTGAAACTGAAATATTCTCGGAGGACCTCGAAATTAGGACGGCGGGAGTGAAATGGTTTTCACCTTTTAGCAGTAGCGGATGCAGTACCCAGGGTTCGATTCCTAGACCTCACCCTACCCATGTACAGTATCTGTGTAGACCCCAAAAGTTGAACCTGTGACCTACGTATTCGTAGACAGTTGGTAGATCTGTCGTAGGTCCATRAGCAGCAGGGGTTCRATCTGTAGGTCTATAGCGTAGAAGTCTTAGYGAGTTCCGGAAGCTTAGCTGTAGACCTTCTAGAAGGTAGGCAAGTGGGCAAGTGGTCAAGTGGCGAGGCAAGTGGGGGACTAACCTGCAGTGCAACAGYGGTACGACRTTGGTAGGATAGCGGTGAGTCCACAGTCAGTCAACGGGAGGTCCAGWCAGTCCCAGTCCGGTCCAGCAAGTACCACGGGGGGACTGTAAGCACCATGGGCCGATGGCAAAGGGCAGACCAACGAGTTTCTGAAGTATAAATCAAGAGGCAGCGCCCAGCCTTTCATTCATTCCTGCGGGAGCCATGCGGAAGTGCTGCCACAGCGCCTTGTGCAAGGAGGTCTGCAGATGAGCCCGGAGGACGCAGTGGGCAAGAGAGGAGGAGTTAGCATAGCGATAGGTTAGAGGCAGCCATAGCTGCCATAGCT